GCATTAATTTGAGTGATGACAGCTATTATGGGAGTGGCTTGATGGAGCGCAGGAGATGCAGACAACATGATCTTGACCCTTAAGAAACTTTAATTAATGCTGTCACGTAACAAATCTGTTCAAATATAAAATTCAAAGAATTGCTAATTACTACATTGAAATAAAAATGTAAATCCTGTACAAATATTAGAAATCGTGAATATAAATAATTGGGAATCATGAAAAATTTTAAATAAAATAAAAACCGTGCACATTTCATTTATCTATTATAACATTTATGCCGTTTTGTTCACTTGGCTGTTTCCTTATAAAAGTCCAAAAATTTGTCAAGTTTTTCATCAGGTGTCTTTTTTAATTATATGATGTCATTAAGTTGCTGTCTTGCCGCCAGCCAATCGCTGCATTGCTGATCGTGGTTTCGAGTATCGATAAATAGCCCCTTTTAAACCAACCCATGAACGTGCAATTATCTCAGATAACTCAATCCAGTCACACTAATCATCAACAACAGGTGCGTTCTAAGAACCGAATTAGCCAGATCCTGATTAGCATGATGATATCATCTTGAATGCGACATTTCATCTCGGATGTAATAAAGCGACGTACGACGAACGGGCCCCTGCTCTTCAGACGGGAATCTGGTCTCCCAGCCTGTCCAAGCTAGTTAGGTCTGTTTATTTGGGTATTTGTCAGCTGGACAACCAGATAAACTATCTACACCAGCAACCTTACCTTTGGCTAGTTTAGAAATGTTTTTTTTCAACACAGTATACATCATAATAAAGATCTAATGCACCACATATAGTAAGGATGCATTTAAGTCATTATCACAAATAATCTTCCACTAATGGCACATACGGTATGAAACACCAGTAGGATGTTAGCACGGCTGTGGAGGGAATTACCGCAGGGAGCAAAGAGACAGAAAGGAAGTGACTCTGACAGGCCCATCTCTCTCCGCTCCTCCTTTCCTGCTCACCATCATTAGAGCAGAAGGATGACGGACAGATAAAGGAAACCTTTTAATAACACTGCAACCTTTTAAGAGGGGGCACAATCGACAGAGCCCATGGGCGAGCTGGAGCCAATCAATGCGGCTGTGCTCTGCCATCTACTCTTTCTCTTAGCCTCCCACTCCCTATCTGTTCCATCTCTTTTCCGCTTTCTCATTCTGCCAGTGGAAGGGGAGACATCTTCCACCTACATTTTCACAACTGCTCCTCTGAAACTTCTCTGTTTAAACAGTACTTTTCCTCCTTATTAAAACCGTTCCCTGCTCTCCCTGATGGGACTGACTCTCACTCTGTCATTAGCACCAATGTGTTTTACACATAGAGGACGAGGCATGTGATAGGATCGGGCTCCTCTGAGGAAAGATGCATTGATACTGTGGTGACATTTTATCATCTGGTTGTTTTGCCTGTCTTATCCTTTACATTCACATTTTTTATGTTCTCACTGAGATTAGAGGAGTCTCCTCCCACATAGTCTCTCGCCTGGGGCTTTGCTGTGGAGTAAACTGTCCTATACTTTCTCTCTTAATTTTCTTATTTCTTTATTTTCCTTCCTGTTGCTCTCACTCTGTCCATAGTAAGTCAAAACTCAGCCATAATTAGCTCACAAAATTTAATGATTTGCTCTGCCACTTTAATGACTTTCTGTTTTTGCATTTTCTGCATAAGCTATTGGTTAATGTTAACCAACAGCCATTTAGGCACTGTCTGACTTAGGGCTGTCCTTAGCTGACGCGGGGTCCGGTGTGAGGTAGGGAGCGGGGCCCCCCCTCGGGGTCGCGATCACTTTCGGGGTGGGCGGACCCCCTTGGTCCATTCGCGATTGTGTTCCGTGTTTAATTTCTCGTTAAATATCCTGATTCATCCTGGAATAGGTCGCATTAAGTTAAATGGGTTTCGCCTTTAAATGCTAGATCGAATCTCTTCAAAAATTACATGGAATCAACATTCCCAAGATTATTTTACAGTGTATCTTTTTATGTGTGCATCATATGAATAATTAGTACTTTTGTGACATAACTACTACTATTGTGAAGCAAGATAGTCTTGGTCTGAGACTACACAACTGCACATTTAATGTTCTTTGAGCCACATTAACACTTTTTAGCACCAACACAGACACTGATCAGTATTCGAAAATGAGCTGTAAATTCCTACCACTGATCTTGATGTTTAAGAACGACTACC